GTTGCGATCCGTTGCCGGACACGAAAAAAGACAAAAAGGGAAAAAAAAAAAAAAAAGAAAAGCATCACAGAGCAGTCAGCTCAGGTGTACTCTGGTGACCAGATCTTAAGTGTTGCCCGATGTGCATGCAGGAGGCTTGGGGACCCACAGGGCCAGCTTGCTGGTTTGGTGTGTGCAGGAGGCTCAGGGACTGGGGCTGACAGGAAAGGGCAGCGAGTGAGGAGCAAGTTCTGTGTGGGCTTCCCTGCTGTGGGTGCTTTCACATAGGTTCTTGGAAAACACGGGTTCATTAAGTCACTCCTGGGCGGCAGGGAGCAGCTACCCAGAACTTGGGGAAGTGGCTCTCTGTTAACCCGAGGATGCTCAGGAACTGAGGCAGGATGCGTGGGATGTAGCATTGGGGGCAGGCCGCCCGGCTCCTCTGCAGCCTCAGCTTGGGGCCCTGCCTCCCCTGTGGGCAATGAGCCTCGGAAGGACAGAAGGACGGGTGGTTCCAGGGAGAGCAAGTCACTTTCATCCCAGGTGTCCCTTACAAACTTTCTTCGGGGGAATGCATCATGGACCCCATCACTGAGATGGGTGGGATGGGTTTGTGATTAATATGGAAAATGAATAGTTGCACTTGAAACGGGCTCGCTGGGAGAGTTGTGGCACCCATGGAGAGCACATTAATATGTTGGCGCGTTATCGGTGCTAATCACTTAAAATGTGCGCCTTTATTAGAGCTTTAATGAGAGCCACTTAAACCGTGCATTAAAAAGAGGAACTGCAGAGAGGCTGGCGGGCTGGGTGGCAGGCAGTCATAATTCTAATTGAAATGCTTTTAGTGCAGGGAAAGTTGTGGATCCAGTCATACCTCGTACTTTCCAGAACATCGCCATCGTGTCTGTATGGTGTGCTGCCTCCTGCCAGCACCGAGCACGTGCAAACCTCTGCTCTCCTTCCCCGGCATGTGCGGTGTCCTAGGCCAAGGTTTAGGGAGGGCTTCCAGAAGGGTCCTCAGGCTGGTCGTGGCTGCGGGTCAGCTCTGGCAGGAAGCGGATGCTTGTGAGCGCTGCTATGCTGCAAATGTGACACATCTCACACCTCGCTTAGTGCACACAGCAGGCAGCCCTTCTCTTCTGCCCAGTGTGACAGGCGGTAGGGATGCAGGTGTGACCTGGGGATAGGTTGGCCAGTGCTGTGGTGAGCAGCCACTGCTCCCTGCAGTTAGCACGAGGGGAGCTGGGGTGAGCCCAAGTCTGTCCCTGCCTAGTGCATACCTGTCCCCCTGCCTTCCTGCCTCCTGGGGCTCTTCATCCTGCCTGGGTGCTGAGGCTGGCTTCCAGCTGGTTGTCATGGCACAGTAAGTGGAAGAGCAGGGAGTGCTAGTGACAGGTACCCCTGCACCACCCCTCCAGGCACTCTTCATCCTGCCTGGGTGCTGAGGCTGGCTTCCAGCTGGTTGTCATAGCACAGTAAGTGGAAGAGCAGGGAGTGCTAGTGACAGGTACCCCTGCACCACCCCTCCAGGCTCAGAGCCCCATCTGGCTCCTGCAGAGCTGGTTCCTGGGGGACATGGCTGAGCCATGAGAACACTCAGGGTGTCTACTCCAGAAAAGTACCATCAGCAGCAGGACCTTGTGCTCCCACCAGGGGTGTTGGTCTCCCTCGTGCCAGCCCTGGTGTCCCTGGTAGGGTAACTGGGACTTGGGTTTGCTTTGCTGTTACCATGAAATGCGTGTGTATTTGAGTTGAGTTTCGGCTAATGAGCGATTTGGAAGCACCCCTGAACTGTGCTGGTTAAAAGCAGCTTTGCAGCAAGGAGCACTGACGTTCTAATGCCTGACATTTCCACATGCGTTTTAAATCAGTTACGTAGTGTGCTCATAGGACAGAGCATCGGCAAAGTGAATCCGACTGCCTCGTGTCATGCACTGACAAGCATGACAGACAGTGAGTTCGTGGGCTCTGACAGCAGGCCGGGGCGGGCCTTGGTTTCCTCACTTGTCCAGGGACAGTGGGGACACTTGTGGTGTGCACGTGGGAAGTGCTTGCAGCAGGGGTGGGCGGAGTCCGTCTCTACTGGGGCTGCCTCACTTCCTTGTTGTTGTGGCTTTGAAGGAAGGTACCTGGGGTGGAGGCCCGGCTCACTTTCCACCATTCCTGGCCTGTCTGGCTTTAGCATATCAGCTTCTGGAGGAAAGCCGAGCGGTCACGTCAGGTCTTTTCTCCCAGGGCTGTGCTCTGTGTAGAGGGTGGGGATCTGAGCAGGGGGATGCCCTGTGCCCTGTGTGGGATCTGAGTGTGTGCTGTGGGCTGGCACCTAGTGGCACAAGAGACCCTGCTCCTTCCCATGGTGAGGAGGCTCTGGCTGCTCCTGGCTGCCCTCTCTGCTGGGCAGACATGTCAGGGCATTTGCTGACAGGTTCATTGAACAAAGGCTGGAAAATGTCCCCAGCAGGGCCCACAGTGCCTGGTGATGGGTCCCACGCATTTCTCTCCCTCAGACCCAACTGCGGGTCCAGCCAGGCCCTGCCGTGTTCCCAGCCTTGATGTACCCGCTCCCTGAGCAAGGAGCTGCTCTGGCCCTGGCCCAGCCTGGCTGTCAGACTGATGCTCATCTCTTCTGCTCTAGGCTTCTTCCCAGGGAGCTCGCAGGGCTGCGACGCCTTCCTGCGGCACAAGATGACCCTCATCTCACCCATCATCCTGAAGAAGTATGGGATCCCCTTCAGCCGGGTGCGTACAGGGCTTTGCATGGGGCTCCAGGGCCCAGGAGACAGGCTTCTTAACCCTGGAGAAGGTGCTAGAACAGTGGCAGACGAAGGGAGGATGCATGGGCTGGAGAGTTAGCCCCTGACTCTTGTGTGGTAGGAGCGGAAGTGACAGGGAAGAGCAGGAGCCTAGCGAGTCTCTGCTTTTCCTCCCCTGCTCTCCTGAACCAAACCAGAACCTCTGCTGCCATGGCCACCCCGGGCCCCTCTGCTGGGTCTGCGGTGGGGGCACAGGTGCAGCTCTTGCTGACTTACTGGGAAGCCACCAAACACCCAGAGGGTCAGGGCCCCCCACCTCCTCCCCAGTGGGAACCCTCCACCTCTGGGCGCAGGCAACTGGGCCGTGCCGTCATCCCGCAGCCCATGTCAGATGGCCTTTGAGAGAGCACATACCTGTTTAGAAGTGAATATGTGGCTCTCCCCCAGTGCACAGCCTGTGAACTCATTCGATTGACTGCTCCAGAGGCTGCTCTGCTCGTCCTCATGGAAGGCTGTGATGAGTGAGATCTGAGGACGGGGAAGCTGGTTTGCAGACAAGCCCACTGGCCCTGGGGCGCATGTTGGGGATCACCCCGTACCTAGATTGACAGATACCTCAGGTTTGCAAATATAGGCACTTGAGTGTCCCTTGGTGGGACTCATGGGTGCACCTGGCCCAGGGGCCGGCTCTGCGCTCAGGGTCCAGCTCAGTCAGGGGTCCACTCCAGGCATGTCCTTCCCTGGGGACAAGCCTCCATGGACAGGAAGGTCTAGGCCAGAGGCATGTGCCTGCAGCCTCCTAGGCAGGCCCTTGCAGACTCTGGGCCATAGTACTGAGGGCTGGGCGCGACAGGAGAACCCTCCTGGGATCTAGCATTTGAAGGTTCCCCATGAAGAACAGTTTGTCAGGCCCAGGAGCGAGTTCAGTGATGAGACCCTCGCTCCTCAGACTCAACGTCAGGTGTCAGCAAATTGGAAATTGCTTCTGACATTTCAATCAAACCGCCTGCAGCATTAGCTCGTGGATGGGGGCTCGTTCTTTCTGTTACCACAGCCAGGAGGCAATTCCCACCATCGCTGGCGTTCATCAGCTGGCAGAAGATTTTGCTCTGAGAAATGCAGGTTTCCATTTTCCCCTCTTCCCTGCTCTGTCTTCTGGTGCAAGTATCATTCATTACCAGGAAGATCGCAGACAGAGCACAGCGTCGATCGCAGAACTGAGAAGAACTGATTTTCCGGCCAGTTTGTTGAGAACATTCTCCAAAGTGAGATGCCCGTCGACGGAGTCCACTGGCGGGCATCCCCCCCCCCCCCCCCCCCCCCGCTTTT